CAAAGAGGCACTGAGTTTGAAGGTAGGCCTTGAAATACATCCACAGGTACACCTCCAATTGACTCAAATGATGTCAATTAGCCTATCAGAAGCTTCTAAAGCCATGACATCATTTTCTGGAATTTTCCAAGCTGTTTAAAGGCACAGTCAACTTAGTGTTTGTAAACTTCTGACCCACTGGAATTGTGATACAGTGAATTATAAGTAAAATAATCTGTCTGTAAACAATTGTTGGAAAGATTACTTGTGTCATGCACAAAGTAGATGTCCTAACCGACTTGCCAAAACTATAGTTTGTTAACAAGACATTTGTGGAGTGGTTGAAAAACTAGTTTTAATGACTCCAACCTAAGTGTATGTAAACTTCAGACTTCAAATGTATAGGTTGAGGTCTATCAACTTTATCACTGTTCTCATAAGGAAACTTGACAATAGCAATGTTCAATTGTTCCAACGAGAAACACTTTATTGTAGACACAGAGACTCCGGTACAACACCTTCTAGGATATCATGAAGGATAGCGGAGGAAATCCACTTGTTGTAAGAAAGTACTGTAGTTGCTGTGAAAAAAACACAAGCACTCTTCACACCATAGTCCTCTGCGCTTATACCAGATGCAATGTCGTTACATAAATTATCAAGGCTTTCGTTTGTTCTTATCTCGAAAGTCCTTGCCTCGTATGTCTGAATGTCCTCCTTCATTGCCCGACAAAATCTGCAAATGTATTTCCACTAAAGCTCTCTTTGAACCCTGCAAGTCCATGTGCAGCTAAATTATCAGCCACTACACACAATACAGTACCTTGAACACATTCTCCAAAAGTGTGAACATAGACACCTTTTTGTTTCCAGAATTTTTAAGTCATTCAACAGTGGCTCAAAAACCTTTGCATATCCACAAGTCTTCAAGACACTGGAATTTTATAGCAATGCTAGCTGTATTGTATGCAACGTTGAGCGATACTTGCTTGGAATATTGGCTAAAGTCCAGTAAACACAGCCTATTTTGTGCTTTTTTTCTTGATGTACCAAGTGGGTTGGCTACTTCAAAATCATCAAGACAGAGTTGAACAGCAACCTTAAACTCCTCACTAGAAAGCATTTCATTGTCTTTACAAAATGATCCATCATGATGTGATGCAAATCTTCTCAAACACTACCGGTTAACACATAGTCAACACTCCAGAATTAGTCCTTTGCCATGTTTGTATGAAGCCTGCATCTGCACCTTTGGCTCTTTGAATTCGCTAAAAATGCATTTGTCAAGACTCCATGCACCGATACATGCATGTTCAGCTGTCGAGACACATTTGGCATTCCACTGCCCAATTTGTGCTTTTACACAACCATCCAATTTCACTAGCATATCTTGAGTTGCACTTTGTGACACATGAAGAAGTGATTGTAATTTTAACAGCAAGGAGGCTGTGCTCTTAAATGTGAAAAAAGCTCTCTCTCATCAAATGGTTGTGTAAAAGCACAAATTGGGCAGTGGAACGCCAAATGTGTCTCGACAGCTGAACATGCATGTATCGGTGCATGGAGTCTTGACAAATGCATTTTTAGCGAATTCAAAGAGCCAAAGGTGCAGATGCAGGTTTCATACAAACGTGGCAAAGGACTAATTCTGGAGTGTTGACTATGTGTTAACCGGTAGTGTTTGAGAAGATTGCCTTGGGAATGGTAGGAAAAACGGCAGAGTTTACAATTTCACAGCATGTTTGGTTGATGGATGTCTGCAAAAATGGAAGTGGAAACAAGTCATGCACTTTATTATAGAAATGGAAAAAAGCTATTTACAATTTAAGTTATATGCACATAACTCAGACGCCTGTTAGGATATATTATTGCACTCAGGGCCTACCAACAAATTGTAACATTCTTTTCTGGAGTGTTTTTCCCGATTCATCGAAACCATCCACTTTCACAGTGTAATTCAGACATTTCACGAACCTAAGATTGATGGATTTTAAAATAGTTTGAATTAATCAGCAGGGGTGACTGAAAAGCAGCTAAAAATTGAAAGTACTCTAGTACGCCTTTAACTATGAGGTTACCATGTTTTGACTTGATTTATTGTAGAGCTTAAAGAATAGGGATGTATACTGTATTATGCCTATTGGATTTTTTGTTAACTAACTGTTAGCCTTTTGTTATTGAGCCAAAATTATCTTGACAACATACCTTTCTCTACAAGGTCTATGGCAAAGATGAAATGCTGCACAGTTGTCCCAAGGTCTGCAAGAACAGGCAAGGGCAACATTGGCAAGCAAGCAGGCTTAACGTTAACTCTCAAAGGCAATGCATTTGACACATTAGCCCAACAACCATTTACATTGTCCCCATATAGCTCTGTGGACAAGGAATGCATTTGACATAAATACTCCTCCAGAGGCGTCTCTGCTCTGCAAACTAAGGTTAGCTAGGCTAGCTAATTGTTGAGGCGGAGTGCCAACCAGTTAACACATCAAATAAATATGCACATGTCACGGCAGATGGATTTTAACATCAAATTGTCGATGTTAACATTACACATGCATTGATCTGTCAGAGTTGGCTAGCTAGCTACCCATTAGTCATGCTTGCTAAAGCTAGCCACAGAGTTTTCACAATGTTCCGCAACTAACATTATAACAATCATGTAATATATTATGCTTAGCATAGCTTTCTTTTAAGAAAAAATATTTAACATTTGGGTAATTCTGTATTTAGCTAGGCTAGGGTCATGAAAGCCAGCAGAACTTCTCTTTAAATTAATTGGCTAACATGAACTGCTGAAAAGTTAATCCACTTCATCTAATGTTAACGTTATCTACGTCGTCAGGCTCCGGAAATTTCGTCCCTAAGTTAAATAATGAGACTACATTAGATTTCTGTGCTCACAATTGGCTCCCTAATGCAATGTATACTTAATCGTACAAACTTTGGTGGGAAGTCAGCCGCCTGTGTGTGAGGTAGACTACTGCACATGTACTTGGAGAAAGTGTGATCACAGAGAAGACGTTGCCTTTGGCGGATGAGCGGGCTTCAGTTTAAAATAATACATCCTTCAAGTTGCCCGCCCAAAATGTCAAGTTAACCAGCTTTTTTATGACATGCAGTTAACTCTTTAGAGGTTATAGCTCAATTGGTAGAGCATGGCGCTTGTAACGCCAGGGTAGTGGGTTCAATCCCCGGGACCACCCATACGTACAAATGTATGCGCACATGACTGTAAGTCGCTTTGGATAAAAGTGTCTGCTAAATGGCATATTATTATTATATCACTTGAACATAAACATGACTCTTAATTCAGGGCTTCATACGCCGCATTCTCTTTGAGACAGACAGACATCCACAGTGACACTTTACACACAACTAATCTAATAATTACCAATGACCAATTAACACCCTGTTTTATCACTTTTAGGCCCAGGTGCAAGCTACATTTAATCAACACTAGACCACTTCCTGGATCGGATGCAAAGCAGTTTTAAAACCTAAACCTAAATTGAATTGGACACCAGGAGCCCCAGGAATTGGACACCAGGAGCTTAAGGACCATGTCCTGGACACATTGAACGTGTATTTGTAATTGCACCATAATTTTGGGAATATAGCCCTCCTGCCAACATTTTGAGTTGACCTCCATCCTCACCCTGTCACCGTTCAAATAGCTTTGGCCCTAACCAATTGGGGCATTACTACACTTAGCAATCTGTATTATTTTCACTGTTAGGCTTTGAGCTGCCTACATAATTCTGCCTACATAATGCCAGAGAGTAAGCATGTCTACCACCTATACACCACACGCACTGACAGAGTACAATGTTATAGAGGGCCAGATTAGGGTCAGCACACAAGTCATTGCAGAGGACAGTACATCAGCACAATTTACTCTGTCTGATGAGAGACTATAGGGAGGACAAATTGTGTAAGGCATAAACCATTTTCCACACCCTTTCATTTCTTATCCACATGATGTGGCTGGTGTGTGTTGTGGGAGGAGGGAGACAAGTAAGATGACAAGGCATAAGAGGAGAACGAACGATAGGCAGGAAGAGAGACTGACTTAGACCTCACTAGCCACCCCTTTCCTAACCGTTCCATTTCTCTAGTTTCAAAATGATGTGTATGGTGTGTCATAGAAGTTGGGCCTACTAACAGTGATGTTCAGATGCACCAGTTAACCCTGCTGTGGAATTTTTTTTGTTGCTGTGCAACGAACAGGCAGATGCCACCCAACATGCCAAAATCAATTTTCGTTGGAGCACTGCTGTTAACACTGCCTGAAGGCGTACCTGGAGACCATGAGCTCCCTTAACACCACAATATTATAACACAGACAAATGACTGAGTATATTACTGTATAGACTGCTATATGAATGAGCTCAGTATTAGTACTGTAAGTAGAGGTTATCATGATTGCATGTTCTCTCAAAGCAAACCAGGGAGGAAAGTTCAAACCCATTTAGCAGTTCATCATGCGTTGCTTTGTAAACGTCGAATGACTTCAAGTTAATTAATAAGAATATTGACGTCTGATAATTAAAATAATGATTGTGATTATTTGTTGGTTAGGCAATATAACCTAGAACAAACATAATAGCTGAAGTGAGTATTATTGTGTAAAACAAATTCAACCCCTTCAAAGTACACATTCAATGTATTTATTACAGTCTCCTAAAGCACAGTCATAGTTTATTAGGCCTACCTCCTTGCTAAGACAACACACAAGCCAATCCCTCCCAGCGTGCTTCCATGTAGATAATTTAGGTTCAGGTGTAAATTTCATGTTGGACTGTACAAATTACTATTATGTATTATTGGAGAATACCACAAAAACATTTCAAACACATGAGATTCACAGTTGTCAGTCAATTTTTGTTCCTCTGGTTACATTTCAAGAGAACACATATGAGAGGAAACAACAACAAAAAATATTTTTGTTCCAACACCAAGTTCTCTTTTCTAAGGTTGTTTTTTATTTGTTTTTGTTCAATCTGTTGTTGTTTTACCACAGGCACATTTGAGTAATCCAGATGTAGAGCATAAACCAGGCCAAAAAGAGCGGGAAAAGCATCTGGCCAGGATTGGAAGCTGTGCATCACCACTCTATCTTCGAGGATGATGGTCCAGTGTGGCTGAAGGGAGACTGCATCTTCATCGGAGATGATAGCAAGTTTGCAGACTGGACCAATGAGGACACCAGGATTTCTTGACTCACGTTCCTACAGTATGACAACCGGAAGAGTGTACAGATCAACCAATGTGGAAGATGTGTTGGGATTTCTAGGCAAGGCAAGTCAATATTAAAAGGAGCAGTCTTAAACTCTGTAATAACCCTGTAAGTATATTAACCAACCTTGCAGGTTTTGAACACCTCTGAGTCATTTTCACAAAGTAGTGCTGGGAGACAATGAAGGGCAGCCGTTCGATTGACATTCACATCCCTTGATTGCTAAAAGGACACAGACAGAACATTAATCAATCAACTTGCAGAGGACAAATGGGAAAAGTATATAGGCACTGTGATTTTAAACCAATATGGCTATCCATAGGCTCAATCCCTAATCGAGACACAACACCCCTTTTACTACCATTTCACCCCAAACCAATTTTATGTACACTGCAGGTGGGGTTTGGAAAATGGTAAAAAATTAAATAAAATGATAAATAGGGGGAGTGCCCGCACAGACCAAGGAAACTGACCAAATACGTAAATTAGAATGTAACAAACAAATGTCATCCTACGTCTTCAGAATGCCAGAAAGCCGAAGTCCAAAGCTCCCCATCTGTCCATGCACCTCCCGGGATAAAGCCAGCAAACGTTCAGTGTAGTGCAGCAAAGAATGATCGCAGCAGGTTCTGATTAGTTATGCGATAAAACTCAGCACATATCTATAGATTTTTTTTATTTTTTTTAAAGATACAGAAGTTTTCTGTACTTAATGCGATTATACATTACCAGGCTCTTACTGAATGACAATAACTCAATACCTTGAGTTCAAGGTACTTAAAGCAAAACAAATGTTATGCTTACTTATAAAAATCAGGTTTTGTTATGTTACAATTGCTTTTAAGTAGCATCTACAAGCAGATGAATGTTCAATGTACAAGCTGTCTTTTGTTATATGCACTTACACAACTAAGCTACTGTCACTTAAATAATATGTTACAAGTACTTAAAAGTGTGTAATTGTTTAGGTCAACTTAAAACTGTAAAGTTCACATGACTTCTCATTAAGTTTTGTGTCAGTACCACTTAAAGTGTTTGACTGTGTGAAACATTTGGAAATATTTAAGTTCAGTCTACTCAATATATTTGTGCTAGTAAAGCATAAGGGTTTACAGTGCAGTTATTGTGAACAATAAAAAACTGTAGGATATGTGAATTGAATTCAAATAACATTTTATTGGTCACATACACATGTTTAGCAGATGTTATTGCGGGTGTAGTGAAATGCTTGTGCTTCTAGCTCCGAAAGTGCAGTAATATCTAACAAGTAATATCTAACAATTACACAACATATACCCAATACACACAAATCTAAGTAATGAATTAATTAAGAATATATATACAGTGAGGGAAAAAAGTATTTGATCCCCTGCTGATTTTGTACATTTGCCCACTGACAAAGAAATGATCGGACTATAATTTTAATGGTAGGTTTATTTGAACAGCGAGAGACAGAATAACAACAAAAAAATCCAGAAAAACGCATGTCAAAAATGTTATAAATTGATTTGCATTTTAATGAGGTAAATAATTATTTGACCCCTCTGCAAAACATGACTTAGGACTTGGTGGCAAAACCCTTGTTGGCAATCACAGAGGTCAGACCTTTCTTGTAGTTGGCCACCAGGGTTGCACACATCTCAGGAGGGATTTTGTCCCACTCCTCTTTGCAGATCTTCTCCAAGTCATTAAGGTTTCGAGGCTGACGTTTGGCAACTCGAACCTTCAGCTCCCTCCACAGATTTTATATGGGATTAAGGTCTGGAGACTGGCTAGGCCACTCCAGAACCTTAATGTGCTTCTTCTTGAGCCACTCCTTTGTTGCCTTGGCCGTGTGTTTTGGGTAATTGTCATGCTGGAATACCCATCTACGACCCATTTTCAATGCCCTGGCTGAGGGAAGGAGGTTCTCACCCAAGATTTGACGGTACATGGCCCCGTCCATCGTCCCTTTGATGCGGTGAAGTTGTCCTGTCCCCTTAGCAGAAAAACACCCCCAAAGGATAATGTTTCCACCTCCATGTTTGATGGTGGGGATGATGTTCTTGGGGTCATAGGCAGCATACCTCCTCCTCCCAACACAGCGAGTTGAGTTGATGCCAAAGAGCTCCATTTTGGTCTCATCTGACCACAACACTTTCACCCAGTTCTCCTCTGAATCATTCAGATGTTCATTGGCAAACTTCAGACGGGCATGTATATGTGCTTTCTTGAGCAGGGGGACCTTGCGGGCGCTGCAGGAAATCTGTCTGATTGAGAGGGGGTCAAATACTTATTTCCCTCATTAAAATGCAAATCAATTTATAGCATTTTTGACATGTGTTTTTCTGGATTTCTTGTTGTTATTCTGTCTCTCACTGTTCAAATAAACCTACCATTAAAATTATAGACTGATCATTTCTTTGTCAGTGGGCAAACGTACAAAATCAGCAGGGGATCAAATACTTTTTTCCCTCACTGTATGGATGGGCGATGTCAGAGCGGCATGGACAAAGATACAGTAGAATAGTATAGAATACAGTATATATATACGAAATGAGTAATGCAAGACATGTAAACATTATTAAAGTGACTAAGATACCGTAGATTAGTATAGAATACAGTATAAAGTGGGGGGGAAAAGTATTTAGTCAGCCACCAATTGTGCAAGTTCTCCCACTTAAAAAGATGAGAGAGGCCTGTAATTTTCATCATAGGTACACGTCAACTATGACAGACAAATTGAGAAAAAAAAATCCAGAAAATCACATTGTAGGATTTTTTATGAATTTATTTGCAAATTATGGTGGAAAATAAGTATTTGGTCACCTACAAACAAGCAAGATTTCTGGCTCTCACAGACCTGTAACTTCTTCTTTAAGAGGCTCCTCTGTCCTCCACTCATTACCTGTATTAATGGCACCTGTTTGAACTTGTTATCAGTATAAAAGACACCTGTCCACAACCTCAAACAGTCACACTCCAAACTCCACTATGGCCAAGACCAAAGAGCTGTCAAAGGACACCAGAAACAAAATTGTAGACCTGCACCAGGCTGGGAAGACTGAATCTGCAATAGGTAAGCGGCTTGGTTTGAAGAAATCAACTGTGGGATCAATTATTAGGAAATAGAAGACATACAAGACCACTGATAATCTCCCTCGATTTGGGGCTCCACGCAAGATCTCACCCCGTGGGGTCAAAATGATCACAAGAACAGTGAGCAAAAATCCCAGAACCACATGGGGGGACCTAGTGAATGACCTGCAGAGAGCTGGGACCAAAGTAACAAAGCCTACCTTCAGTAACACACTACGCCGCCAGATACTCAAATCCTGCAGTGCCAGACGTGTCCCCCTGCTTAAGCCAGTACATGTCCAGGCCCGTCTGAAGTTTGCTAGAGTGCATTTGGATGATCCAGAAGAGGATTGGGAGAATGTCATATGGTCAGATGAAACCAAAATAGAACTTTTTGGTAAAAACTCAACTCGTCGTGTTTGGAGGACAAAGAATGCTGAGTTGCATCCAAAGAACACCATACCTACTGTGAAGCATGGGGGTGGAAACATCATGCTTTGGGGCTGTTTTTCTGCAAAGGGACCAGGACGACTGATCCGTGTAAAGGAAAGAATGAATGGGGTCATGTATCATGAGATTTTGAGTGAAAACCTCCTTCCATCAGCAAGGGCATTGAAGATGAAACGTGGCTGGGTCTTTCAGCATGACAATGATCCCAAACACACCGCCCGGGCAACGAAGGAGTGGCTTCGTAAGAAGCATTTCAAGGTCCTGGAGTGGCCTAGCCAGTCTCCAGATCTCAACCCCATAGAAAATCTTTGGAGGGAGTTGAAAGTCCGTGTTGCCCAGCGACAGCCCCAAAACATCACTGCTTTAGAGGAGATTTGCATGGAGGAATGGGCAAAAATACCAGCAACAGTGTGTGAAAACCTTGTGAAGACTTACAGAAAACGTTTGACCTGTGTCATTGCCAACAAAGGGTATATAACAAAGTATTGAGAAACTTTTGTTATTGACCAAATACTTATTTTCCACCATAATTTGCAAATAAATTCATAAAAAATCCTACAATGTGATTTTCTGGAGAAAAAAAATCTCATTTTGTCTGTCATAGTTGACGTGTACCTATGATGAAAATTACAGGCGTCTCTCATCTTTTTAAGTGGGAGAACTTGCACAATTGGTGGCTGACTAAATACTTTTTTCCCCCACTGTATACATATGAGATGAGTAATTCAAGATATGTAAACATTATTAAAGTGGCTAGTGTTCCATTTCTTAAAGTGGCCAGTAATTTCTAGTCTATGTCTATAGGCAGCAGCCTCTAGTGTGCTAGTGATGGCCTTGAGATAGAAGCTGTTTTTCAGTCTCTCGGTCCCAGCTTTGATGCACCTGTACTGACCTCACCTTCTGGATGATAGCGGGGTGAACAGGCAGTGGCTCGGGTGGTTGATGTCCTTGATGATCTTTTTGGCCTTCCTGTGACATCGGGTGCTGTAGGTGTCCTGGAGGGCGGGTAGTTTGCCCCCGGTAATGCGTTGGGCAGATCGCACCACCCTCTGGAGAGCCTTGCGGTTGTGGGCGGTGCAGTTGCCATACCAGGCGGTGATACAGCCCGACAGGATGTTCTGTAAAAGTTTGTGAGGGTTTAAGGTGCCAAGCCAAATTTCTTCAGGCTCTGTTGCACCTTCTTCAACACACTGTCTGTGTGGGTGGTCCATTTCAGTTCGTCAGTGATGTGTACGCCAAGGAACTTAAAGCTTTCTACCTTCTCCACTGCGGTGCCGTCAATGTGGATAGGGGGGTGCACCCCCCTTTGTTGACGTTGAGTGAGAGATTATTTTCCTGGCACCACACTCCCAGAGCCCTCACCTCCTCCCTGTAGGCTGTCTCGTCATTGTTGGTAATCAAGCTTACTACTGTTGTGTCATCTGCAAACTTGATGATTGAGTGGGCTGAGCACGCACCCTTGTGTTTCCTACCTTCATCTCCTGGGTGCGGGAATTGTGACTACTGCACTTATTATGAGTTGTACATAATCTGCGTTTTAGATTTCCATCCATGCTAACCTTTTTGCATAATTTGTGCTCCTTTTTCACAGGCGGTTCAGGCTAATGACGTCTCTCAATAGCTGATAGAAACCGAGAAGGAATATCATCCCAAATGATAGTACTAATATTTCTAACTGTACTGATGAGGAAGAGGAGGGCAGACTTATCCATTGTCGCTGAACTGCTTGAAGCGTTCAGTCAAAATTACAGTGCCACTTTGTTACCACTACTCACATGTTCAATAAGATGTTCTGCAAAAAGAATAACAATACAGAAATGTTCTTGCTCTGAGGTTTTGCCAATCATATGTTGGAAACCATTATCAAGAAAACCTACAGTAGTTGAACCTATTTGTTGAACACCAGTGATTCTAAGAACAAGAACAAGAATAACTGTTACCTGTAGGACAATGTGTCTATCACAGGTCACCAAGGGTACAGTAAGATATATCCATAATTAAATATGCCTTTTTCTGAAATGATGATAACAATGCAAAAACTCTTTGTTTATATCCATGAAAGCATACATTTCTTTGATTGTCAATACTGATGAGTTTTATGTCTACATAAGCGAGGGCATGA